GGCCAAAACAACACATTAGCATTTCAAACGGGGCTCTAGATACGCGTTAAAAGACTATTCGTACTAAAGGAATATATAATAACTGCTATTATATATCGACATATTTATTTAAGTAAATATGCTGCATTTTATGCCTTGATGCACCCTCCTGCGTGTCGCAAAGAAAAAGTGGTGTATCAGCACCTAATATTTATGACAGGGGTCCACTGCCATACTGCAAATCAGGAGCCGAATCGGATATTTTCAATCGATCGGATTCAAATCCAAGTGAGTGAATAATATCTATTCTGAAAGGGCTGTGTTCGAGGTCGTTAGTACGCCGAAACTATTTCACGAACAAAAACAAAGTAGCTCTACACATCTTCATATTCAAATTTCCGATGTTTCCTTATACGATCAAAGAAGTCACAGAATATAACCATGTCACAGCTTCAAAATACTTGTCCAAAGTAAATATGGAGATATCCTGGTTAGTACAGAAAATAACCCACACCATATCTAACGAAAAATTTCACTTAATTAAAGTTTACAGATAAAAACACTTCATCTACGCGTGATTGTACACTGGCTTATACTAAGAAAGAGGGGTTGCATTTTTGGTCCTCTGACTTAAGGAAATCTTGGCATGTTTTCGCATCATGCTTACAATGTGAATATGGCGGAAGTGACGTCGCAAGAAATTACACTGTCGAAGGTCGTCTACATCATGGAGCGAGTGACCTGTGCTAATGTAGTATCCCGGTCGTATCTATAGTGCGATCTAATGTTGTTACATTAAGACTTCTCACCACTCAAAAAACTCTCTAATAACATGTGTAAGAAATATTACACACTCAGTATAACGTCAGCTACAACACTCACTGTCAATTAACAATATCAACATTTTTCGATTTGCTGCGAAACCACGACTGTTACAATCACAGTGGTTTACACATTAAATTCACGGGACTACGTTTCTCAATCATTTCTAAATTCAATGTGTTTTCATGAACCTCCAGGCTGTCACTGGAACAAGCTTTAATCCTTGGGATTAAATCATAGATTGTTTCCACCACATGAAAATAATAAGAGGATGCTGTTAACACTGTGTGCGCGTCACATATGACCAAGTTCTCAGTTAATGACATTAGACGGTGGAATACTCTATTTTACAAATGCTTCTGAAATTAGGCAGCTCTGAGGAGTAATTTTAAAGTAGAGAGAGATGAAGTAAAGGATTAAAAAATGAATAAAAACAAAAGACGCGAAGTAAATTCCATTTCCACAATCAACGACTTCATTCTACTAGTACTATTTGATTATGTAAACTCAAGAGATGTACGAAAATTTGCAACAAATATTTTAAACATATATTACATTACAAAACTTTTGTATGGAGGACATCGCGTAAATTATTTTCAGCTGCAAAGTACCTAACTACACCCGAAAGTCATGCATCTAACAAATCAAGCCACTCCATCAGATTCTTTCACGAATTCTTAACTTGGTGCCATCCGAATATACACGGGGTTAGTGTTCGTTCACCGTACCAGTTTGCTCGATTAATTCACATCGTAAATTGAAATTTTGAAAGATGTTGTCAAGACTATTTTAATTCAACGCCCCATTCTTATGTTTTTACACTCAAACGTCCTTTTCCTAACGGATATGCACACATAATTACA